CCTGGTGGGCTGCCTGTGCCTGAAGGAGACAGTGCACCTTCAACCACCACAAGAAAAAGAGAGCTCTGCCCAGCACAAAATTGCACACACCCAGTTCCAAGGGCCCAGCCTTACTCAGAGAGGCGGCTGTGCCTCCTCACTCCCAGCAGCAATCAAGGCACAACCCAGGAGCTACCAGGGCAAACAATTGTTTTCATTGGCAAAGAAGCCCAGATTAGCCCTCTGCTTCAAAGCTACTAATGAAGAGACACTGGGTCTGTAGGACAGGGCATGTCCAAAAGAATTCTTCAAAGACAAGAAGAGTTTCCACCTCCACCTCCACCCCCTCCCTCCCATCCCTGGAATTTCAGTGACTCCTTTTCTGAGCACTTTCACCCCTTCCAAGGACAAAGCAGCACCTGTAGGTCTGGCCATGACAGCTGCAAGTTGCCAAACCCATTCAAGGATGAGCAGGGAGAAGCAGAGCAGTGCACAGAGATCCCCCCAAGCACTGCAAAGTGGGAATCTGCCTTGGGCAGCCTTTGGATTCAGGGACCTGCCGGCACATTCCACACCCATGGCAGCACTCCTGCCCAACCAGACTGCCTTCTGCCACTGCCTTCAGCAAAGATAGTAGCTAACCCACAGAAGACAGGAGCAAAAGAAAAAGACCAAAAACCATGGCCACAAGAGAAGTTTACATAGTGCCTGTGGACACTGGGGAGAAAGTCACTTACTTGCAAAACGAGGCTGACGTCTTGTAGCTTTGGACTTCTTTCCTGGTCAGCTCGTTCTGCCACCTCTCTTTTACACTGTTCTCTTTGGCTGCCATCAAGCACCAAAGTCTCCAAATGATGGTGGAGTTTTGTCACCTCTTCTTGCAGCTGGCCTTTGCTCTTCTCCAGTTGTTCACACTTCCCAAGCAGAGTGGACAGCTCTTCTGGCAAAGCCTGGTTTGGGGCCTCGAGCTGCATGCCTGTTCTAGGCTCCGTGTCCAGCTGCTGGGAAAGTTCACCACCCTGGACACAGAAAAACAAAAAAAGAAAGGGAAACTCAGCATGGTCTAAAGGCAGTGAATTCTGGGAAAACTTCTCAAGGGGGTGGCCATGGCAACTGTATTTATCATCTACTGGAAACCAGCCTAGAAAACACTTGAAAGATTCCCCGACAGAAAGAAAAAACTTTAGACCTACTTAAGAATTTGGGAGACACTTCTGGCAGCAATACTTCTGGGTCCCTTGGAGCTCATGATGAAACTCCTAATTTAGAATCTAAGAATTCCTCCAGTGTCCAGCACACCAAATACCCTCAGGGCTTTTGTAGCAGCTGGGGAAAGGACCAGGCTGCTTTCTGAGCAGCCTCTGCTGAGGAGAAGGCAGAAACTGAGCTCCCCAGGCTCTCCAGGAAAACTTCATCTGACAATCTCCCCACAGAAATAGGCAACTAGGCTCAAGAGTCACAAAAAGGGACATTTAGCACCAGCTTACTGAGGCAGAGGCTTGCAGGGCTCTCGGAAGGGCTTCAATGCCATCGCTCGGCTGCTGGACAGTGGCTTCCAATCTGCTGTTCTCACTTGCAAAGCTTAAGAAGAAATACAGCTCTTATTACCAGAAAATCCAATGCCAGACAAACTGTGCTAAGGAACAGAAGTCACAGCAGAAGTGTCCTTCAAAATCCCACTGACTCTCCCCTTGTTTCCACCCAATCCCCCAAAGCCACAGACCCCTCGCTTCACTGGGTTACTCTCTTACTGTTGTGCATCTTCTTCCAGTTGGTTTAGAGTTTTATTGGTCTCACAAGATGCCAACGGGAGGTCCTGCAGTTTCTGGGAGGAAGTTATTGCCTCTCCTTTGTTGTCATCCAAGGCAGTCTTCAAGTCAGGAACACAAGGCTCAGACTGAAGATGCTTTTCTTCCTCCTCCTGCAGCTGTAAAATCATGGGAAGAATGCACAGTTTTCAGGGGAGCTTTTCCAGAGAGGAGCCAGCTGCTGCTGAAGAACTCAGGTGCTGCATGTCTGTGTGCATCCCCTCTGCCCAAAGAACTGCAATCCATTCAAGTGCCTTCAAAGCTTCACTCCTACTCCCCAATGAACACAATGAACACTGTTTTGTCCGTTTTCAGGATGGATAGGAAGCAACAGGCACCCCCAGGTTTCTCCCTGTGGGGACAGGCTTTCCATACCTCCACATCAGCCCTGTCCAGCTCCTCCTGCAAGCGCAG